CTGCTGGATTTAAATGGAACTGATTTTACTTGTGTCCTTTCAATCCAAAGGCTCCTATTAGGTGTTCTTCCAATCCAGAGGGTTTTTTAATGATCGAAACTAAGAGGATGCAGTAAATTTAAAACTGTATTTATTAATAAGTGCATGTATTTTATGAAAGCAGTTTTAAATATTGAATTCTCACTGGAACCCATCCATTAGATGAGGGCGCACAAGTCCTAAATTCCTCTTAGAAGCAGCTATTTAAAATGTGAACTTCTACTCATTTTACCTGACAATACCTTAATTAGTTAAATACCTAAGTTCAATTTTATACCTAAAATAATAAACTGTGGTGTAAATCCCCACCTTCACTTGCAGTAAATGTTGACTTATCAAATCCCTTAATTAAAACAAATAATTTTGTTGAAGCCTTCACACAACTCACTAGGCAGTCAATTAGCCTGGGAAGATGACCTTCCAATTATACCTAGTTTAGACAAGGTATTCCACATACCTGGGTGAAACCCTTTTCTATGCTGTAACCAGACCACCAGATGTTCGTCACTTATTGCTCCCCAGTGAGACCAAGTGGCAGGCCCCCTTTATAAAGGTTTCATCGGCCGTTCCTTCCAGACACCAAACAGTCACGCCAGTCAGGTTTTAAAACTTTTTATTTGCATATTAAAAAAATTGTGCATTCCAATAATTAAAATCATTTGAACAAAAAAATGGCACTCTGATTAAACTGCATTTTACAGCCTGCAGGACACCTTGGACCAGCTTGGATTTTACTCTACATTTCCCTGTCGTCCCACCCAGCTTCTTCCTTCACCAACATGCAAGTTCTTTTCCTTCGCTGCTGCCAGCCAGACCGGCAGATGGGAGAGGCAGGCGCGCCTTCGTTGTCAGTAGTTCTCGATTCTTTGATGTGAAAGGGGCAACACAGTCATTTAAACTGGATACAACCTCTTTGCATCTTACAAAGCTAAACAGCTAAAAGAAGTAAAATAGGCAGGCAATGCTTGTGGAATGTACAGTGCATATTGGCGGCGCACGCCTTATTACGATTCGCCGGCTTGCTTCTCCTGTTCAATCGCTGTGGCAGGAAAAAGACAAGGAAAAAAAGATGGAGGGGCGGTTAAGAGGATTCGCTATAGCCTAGTATAGACGTTTCATCCAAAACATGTCTTCGTATCATAAAAATTCTGCAAGTATATACAGGCCATGGGTTTAATAAAATATTTATATAAAATAGACCCAATAGAAGCTCATGCTAATAGATAAAAGTATTTGTCTATTAATGTGGCATATTAAACATTGCATTATTAAATTACTGAAGGCCTGTGTTTTTGGCTGCAAAACAATTTTCAATTAACCTTTCCAAGTCGCATTCATCATCAAACTGTCTGCTCCTCCCCCGCACCCCCGCTCTCCCCGCCCCGCGGAAGACTTATCGAATTTCTCGATCTCAGCCATATCGGGTTTGTCAGACATGGTCGCGGAGGACGCTGCAGGTACAAAGCCAAGAGAAAAGGTGAGAGAGCCACAAGCTCTCGGCTCTCCCGGCTCAGAAATGCGCTTCGACCCTCCAACTCCTGCCTGAAACCCCACCTTCTCCTTCCGCTTTCATGCAAGGCTAAATATCTTCCTCTTTCTACAGGAAAAGACACCCCCCCACACACACACACACCTCAGTATTTCAAAATGCAGGGGACTAAATTGTGAAGATCGCGCTCAAGGCCGAATCTTTCGGATAATGAAATTGCCCACTGAGGGCTGTTAATTGCAGCATTTGAAATCTGGCTAGGAACAAGCAGAGAGAATAAAAAAGGCCTCTTCCAAGTTTAAATGGGAGTAAAAAAAAAAAATCATGTAAAAAATTCTTAAAAAGGAGCCAAGGTCGTAAAAAGCGTTCCCACTTCCTAGACGTGATCTGTCCCCAAAGATGCGGGCCTCATCTGTCCTCTAGCTTTCTTCTCCCCTCACAAAGGCGACAGCTGGTGCGAGGAGCCTCGGACCACCGCCCTACCCGCGTCCTCACTCTAGCTCAACAACGCAGCCCGCGGCACACAAAGCTGCCTACCCACGCCCCATAAATCAGTCCTGGTCTGCATTGAGGGGCGATTTGGCAGCCTTTGCACACATTCCTGTGCAAGAAGAGCTTGAAATTCTCCCAGGATAGCCGAGGCATCTTAAACCTGAACAGATGCAGCCTTCGAAGCCGTCAGAGGCTAGGGGGAAAAATAGGGCTTACGCTCCAGACTCGGGTGGGTATGCGTTAGAACAAAGGACCTTTCTGTGCCCGATTAATCACAGCCTCAGAGGCAATGCAGATGTCTTGGGGGTAAAAATAAAGAAAAAGTGATTTCCCCCAAAGCTAAAAGGCAGAAAGCCAGTTTTTGCCTTTTTTTTTTTTTAAATCCATTTCCCGACCCCATTACCCCAGCACCTGGAAGGGTTAGCACGTCCAAGCTCCGCAAGGAAGCCTTCCCAGGGAGGACCACTTGGGCCACGCTTTAGGGATGCCTTAACAGGGATGCAGATGGAGGCGAGCGCGGGCGCCTGCTTGGAAGGGAACCCTAGAGCAGGAGACAGGGGCCCTGGGGCTCACCGGAGAGAGGTGCGCTAGAGAACGAAGTCTGGTCTGTGCAGTGGCCACCGCCGAGTGTCGGGGTCGGGCGGGGCGCGGCGAGCGCCGCTATATGGCCGCTCCTATGTAAATGAGGTGATGTCACCCGCGAGCCCGCTTAACTCTTTCACGCCGCGTTCCGGAACGGCGTCCGGAAGCCTGCCAGGAGTGAGGGAGCCCTCCCCCCAACCCTGTGTGCACCAGTGAGCCCTAACCACGATGGCAGAAAAATAAATTGAGCAAAAGCCCGCCCTCCAACACTTGCTTCGTGATGCATTTTCCCCTTTATGTTTATTTTATTATAATAAAATTTTGCTACAGCAGCACAAACTTGCTCTTGGGGACTAGAGCATGGTAACTGAGGACCTAGGTGGTACCTAGGGGGACAGGCATTTCTTTACTGGGAAACTAGCTTTGTCTGCTGCAGAAATCCGCAAGCAAGGGTGCGGTGTCTCTCGAACAGGGCCTCGCCCACTGCAGGGGTACGAGTCCTGTGACTCAGCTTTCAGACCAGTGGAGAAAGCCTTTGCCCCACCCCGGCCTGCTTTGTCTTCCTCGCATGTGTTCCCCTTGGCTTGGGTGGGAGGTAAAACCCTTGAGCGATAAAAAAAAAGTTTCAGTACTGCAGCATCCATATGTCTTTGCTAAAATCCGCAGGCACACTCAGGTCAAATCGCCCTAATATTTGTTGGGTGTAGGGTAATTCATCTGGAGTTTAGAGAGTACAATGCCGCCTGCTTAGGAAAAAATAAGTCAAGTTCAAGCTCTCCTATTCATCAGCTGCCTGACAATGAGGAAGTTCTTTGCGTTCTTGTTCCTTATTTTCGAAAATTAAAACAATGATCACTAAGGAGGCCCATGTTAAATTCTAAAGACTACCACAGTCTCATTATCTCTAAAATACTGAGATGAAATTAAAAACTCAAACTGTACTTTGCAGGGTATGTTTTCAGCACTCGAATGCCTGCGAAGTGCATCTGGAAAGGAAGGATTTAGGTAGACAGCAGCACTTTTCAAAATGGCACCTGACGCTGCGAGTACCAGTGACCCACTTGCTACTGAAAATCACTTACAAAGACCAAGCCATGCGCCTGCAAATGGCATGGGAAAGGGAAAAGACCTGCTAGTTACACAGAGGCCTAGTTGTGATCATTTCTAAGGGACACAAAACAGTGTGCAAAATATTTCTTCTTTTCTGTGTCCTGAGGAAATGTTTTTTAGAAACCCCTTGCTAATCATTTTTATGGCAAAGGCTTTTGTCTCACTGGGGATCAGAGTCAATTGTTACACAGACCCTTAAATGCCACTGCTGGAGCAGCTCGGACTTCCCCATTTCTTCATCTCCTTGACTTCCTTTTTCCTGAGGAGGGAAGGGGTGGCGGTGAGTAGGAGCAGGTGACCGTCTGGTTCCCCAGTTGCTGTTCTGCTAGGTGGCTGCCATCCTGCCTCCCGAATGGGGCACTCAACCTGTTTGTGCATGCACCGGATGTCACCTCTCCGGTAACATGTTCCCTGTCCCAGCCCTATGTTGACTGGCATGGTTGAAACACAGAGCTCTTACAGGGTGCCTTTTGACCGTTCAGCTGGCAGCTGCAGCTGAACCCACACCATTTCTGCAGCTTCTGTCATTCTTTTGCCCCTGACCCAGCTGCTGTCAAAAATCATTTCCTTCATCCCTGAGGTCTCCAGATGATGAAGCAATGCCACCACCACCTCCTAGCTTCTTTTTCCAAAGACTTTTCCTTAGAAAGGGTTAGACCTTACAGAAGCAATGCCTCCAAAGGAGTGGAAATTTGTAAACACCAGGAGAACTCTCCTAGTTTGGTAACAAGCCGTCTCCCAATGCATTTAGGTATTGATAGAAAGAGGGCAGGTGGACAGATTGGGAGGAAGGGAAGGAGAAGAAGGCAGCTTGTTGAAAGGAAGAAAGTCTACAATAATTGACCTTGACCTGCCCATCGGGCAGAAGACTAAGAAAGAATGGAAAGAAAAGTGTGAGGCAGATACAAGGGGACTTCATAAAGCTGCTGTAAAGTGGGAATTAAAGCATGAGTTTAGAGACCAGCAAATGGTGTAATGGTTATGTTGCCGAACCTCCACATGACCAACTGCAGTTCAAGTCCTAGACCTGATGGTTTCAAACTCACACTGGGCATGTGCATGTGCATGTCCAAAATCCTGAAAAGAAAATGGAGAAGAAGGAATTGCAGTGTGGCCATTCCCCTGGGGCTGGTTTTTCACTTTCTGTTTCTCTGTCTCTCTGGTGCGTGCACACACCTTATAGCAAAAATCTCTCAAAAAAATGTTTAAATAATGTACAAGTTTATTTTGGTCCAAATGATTTTGAAATCCATACATGTAGTTTTTTTTCATAATATGTATTTTGCATGAACTTTTTCAAAACCCTTTGTCCAAGGAAATACAAGCTGAAGAAATATTCTTTAAAAAGATATTTAACTCTAGTCATGTTAATTAATCTATATGTGCGTGAGTTTTCTCATCTATAAAGTGGGTTAGTTGTAGTACATACCTCACAGGGATGTTGGGAGGATCAAATGCTTGGGACAGTGCATGATAATTAGTGAGCTCTTTGTATTGCTGTTATTATTATTATTATTACTATTTTAAGAGAGATTGTTGACATAGGGCATGTACACTCACCAGAGAGAGAGAGAGACAGAGAGACAGAAAGCAAGAAATCAGCCCCCAGGAGGATGGCCACAGCTCAATCCCTTCTCCTCTGTTCTCCTCTCAGGATTTTGGGCACACACACAAGTGCCTGGCTTGAGTTTTAAGCTGCTAGGTCTGGGACTCAAACCACGGTCAACTATGTGAAAGTCCAGTAATGTAACCATTATGCCATCTGCTGGTCACTATTATTATTATTATTTAAGATGGGTGCTTGAGAAAAAATAATAAATGTTTTAGTGTTTGGAATTAATTGTAAAGATGTTTTTTTGTTTGTTTTTTAAATTTGCTAGAAGGCATGTGTACTTCCCAGAGAAAGAGAGAAAAAGCATTCCCCATGAGGGATGGTCACGCCCCAATCTCGTCTCCATTTCTCCCTCCTTTCGGGATTTGAGGCATACATGAACGCATGCCCCATTTGTTTTTCAAGCTGCTAGGGCCAGAACTCTGACTGTGCAGTCTGTCATATGGGATCCAGCTGTCTTTACCATCAACCACTGGCTGGCCCTGGAATTACTTAAAAATTTTAGATGTTTTGATATAATTTCTCTTACAAAGTAAAATGTTTATGTTTTTATCATATAGTACTGCTATATAATTAACATATTACCTATTGTTTTGTTTCTTATAAAGTATTAATAAAAATGAGATATTTTGTTAGTTTTACAGGAAATAAAAAACAGCACCTCTCATTGGCTGATGTCTTCTAAAGGTCAAGCACTGTAAAAGGTGCTTTACGTTTGTTTTCTTTTCATGCCCATAGCCTCTCCATGAGGAGACACTTCAAGATGGGGAACTGAGGCTTAGAGACCCATCATTGGGATAACTCAGCCAGTGGCCACTCTCATTTATATTAAGGGGCACATAAAAGTCTTCACCTCAGCTCCCCAGGTCTGGGCCTGAGAATCACCAGGAAGAGGGGAGGGGAACAGGCTGCTTTGTTTTCCATAGTGCCAGGAAGAAAGCAGTTGCTCAATAAACAGATACTGCACTGCATTGAATTGACTTGTTTACATGAGGAAGTCTCTTGAGTCCTGCTACTGAACCTGTTACTCTAATCGCCCTGCTTTCTTCTCCAGATAATTCAGTCCATTTAATTAGGTTTTTGTTTGGGATTGTTTTTGTTTTTCTGTTTTAAATTTGCCAATGCACTGGCCAGAGAGAGACAGGGAGGGAAAATGAGAAAACACCTCCCAGGGGCATGGTCACACCACAGATTCTTCTCCATTTCTCCCTCCATCAGGATTTTGGGCATGCATGCGCTCATGCCCAGTGTGTTTTTCAAGCTGCCAGTCCAGGATTTGAAACTTGCAGTCGGCCGTGTGGAATCCACTGCTGTACCACCAGGCCATGGGCTGGCCCTCCATTTAGTATTCACGTTCCAGATGTCAGAGATAGTTCCAGCCTCAGGAAAGCTACCATTTATAAGTGGGTTAGCATATGTGGAGCACAACCACTCTCAAGGTGGGAGTTTTCTATCACAATTTTAAAAAGGCACAGAAGGGCAGAAGAACTCCAAAGACCCTTGGTCACTTCTGGCTGCATGGTGCCCTCTGGCCTCAGGGTGCTCCGGTGGAGGGTGAGGAAGGTCCATTTTGCACCTGCCCTGCCTTCCTCAGCACCCTGTGACAATGACATCTGCACTGAGGGCTGGCCCAGGCCAAGCCTGTGCCCGGTGGAACCAGGGCCAGGTGTCAGGGGACACTGTGTTTTATGTTGCTTTACAAGGCGGATCTGGAAGAGAGTATGGCTATTTCCAACTATGGGGAAACAGCTCTGAAAGTCTGAGTTCATGACAATGAGTTCTCTTATTTTAAACTGATTCATTTTGTGCAGAGCATTTAACGGAAAAGAAGGAAGGGGAGAACAGAAAAACAGGACCAACAGCGCAGCCCCGAGCTCTCAGCTCCCTCAAGCCCAGGCCCCTTTGTCTGGGTTTCAAGGCTTCCCGCCATCTGCCCCATCCGCCCCACCTGCCTCAACCCACATTCCCCTGTGGCCCCTGAACCACCATCTGTTCATCCTGGTCTCCTTTTTAGCAGGGCCTTCCTTCCACTGACTGGAATCTCATCTCAGTCCCCTTAAAGATAGCCTGAGGGCCCCTTGGTGACAGGGAGAGGGAAGGAGAAAAGTAGTGAAAGGATATTCAGTGGTCTAGCTGTATCTTGAGTCCTCGGTTAAGCCCTTTTATACAGTATCTGATCCTGTGGTTAATAATTCTCCATTTTACTGCTAAAGAAACTGAGGCTTAGAGAGTTTAAGTCACTTGCTCTAGGTCAAACTCCTAGATCTACCTACGACGTCTATGTCCTTCTATTGAGGCCCATCTCTGCCTTACATTGAGCTGAAATGCATCTTTTTTCAGGACTTCCCCCCCTGGGGGCCCCACATTATGTTCAGTATGATGGAACTGGAGGGCCCTGGTGAGAGAGAAGGGTGGA